AAAGCATAGGTACCAACACAACCGAAATGTTTTTAGGTGGTCCTTGCAGACAGCACTAGGTAATACAGTGAGAAAGTTGATTTCTTTTCTATTATTTCCTTTATATTAAGGAGGTAGTCTCAGTTTGGTGTCAGCCTGCTACTTCTTTAATAGTTGCTAATGTCTTTTGTTCACAAGGAAGGAACAGATCTTAGATTCAGTTTCACAAGTATTAGACTCTAGTTAAGACTTTTAGTTCTGTTTTTATTGTACTTTTTTTTTGTTAATCCTCGGCTGAGGATACTTTTCCATTGATTTTTAGGGAGAGTGAAAGAGAAAGGAAAAAGGCAGAGAGGCATATAGATGTAAGAGAAACACATCGATTGGTTGCTTCCTGCATGAGCCCTGACCAGGGGAGGAGCCTGCAACCAAGGCATGTGTCCTTGATCGGAATCAAACCCTGGACCCTTTGGTCCACAGGCCGACGCTCTATCCACTGAGCAAAACCAGCTAGGGCTCATTGTACTTATTTTTATGGCTTTGTTGTCTCAGGGCAAGTGACAGGTTTCCCATTAATGGCAATGATTTAGATTTTTTAAAAATAAATTTAAGTTTAAAAATCTATTTAAAGAAAAATATTACATAAATAATAATATAGATAAAGCTAAAATAATCAGATTAGGTAAAAGAATGATAGAAATTTGGGAAACATTATGTCAAGTCATTGGCAACAGACTATCAATTTTGCTGAATGAGTGAGCAAGCCACTTTCCAACAGAAGCTCCTCTTCCTGGAGATATAGACAGACAGCTGCAGGCCCTGACACATGCAGCCTACTGTCTACTTGCCCTGAAGAGGCCCTAGGAATAATGTGTCCAATCCTACTTAGGGATACTGACAGTAGGAAAGGGATCAGCCTTGCAAATAAAGAAGGAAAGGCTTTAAGTTCTGTGTTCTTGCAGCTGCCGTGAGTCTCCAGAGCAGCTGAAATGACAACCTGCAGAGTTTCCACTTCCTACAAGAGCTTCAGAGACTAATAAAGACATTGCTCCAATTTAGAAAAAGGCTGAATACAAAATAGCTCCATAGTTAAAGTACAATGTCCTTTGCTTAAAAATCCTAAGTGTTTATGAATAGGAGCCTAGCTTTTACCAAGAATACAAATGGTAAGTGAAACATACTTTCAGTCAACAAGCCTTTAATTAAATGTGCAAGATGAGGAGGGGGATGTCAAATTTCAAAAATAAAAATGTCTCCTAATTGATCATCTCACATCCTACATTTGCCCCCCATTTAAGTTATTTCTCCACACAATATTCAGAGCTATCTTTAAAATAAATTTCCAAATCCTTAGATCCTCACATGGAACCAGCTTCTTTTATACACTCACTCTCTCCATCCTTCTCTCTCTACCTGGAGTTTGGCCAGGCACCGAAGGGGGAAAATGTCCTAACTCACCAAAGAAGTGATTATCAATCAGGAAACACAGCTGGTAAATATGTTATACCTGATCCAGACTAGAAGAAGACTGCAAACTAGTAAAACAGTTTAGAACAAGGATCTTGTACCAGAAGAGAGAGAGAGAGAGAGAGAGAGAGAGAATATGAATGAATCAATCCTAAAAACTGGAAATATTTTCTCTTTCACATTTCTCTGTTTCTATTTTGCAATTGCTGACCCAGCAATTCCTGTATTTGGACCATCACTCCCACCACTCCCCTCCCCTAACCACTACTAGTAAAAACATTTAAAAACTACTAATAATGGTAGAAGAAAGCCCTGGTCGTACCAGAGTACAAAATTGGTTGAGAACCACATAGCACATGAGAATCATTTTAGCAAAAGGAGAATGAATAATAAAGCAGGTGTTTTAGCAAGACCATGGGTGATTTTCAAAAACCAAAAAATGCAATGCCCAAACTTGCCAATTTATGAGTAATAAGATGCATCCTCAAGATGTTTCAACTAATCGCATTTATGCAGAGAAAAACTATTATAAACATAGATTCTAGAATGTAAACTCCCCACATCTCATCCCACCACAGTTTCACAATTATTCACCCTTACAGCCCAATCCACTTCTACCCCAAACAATATTCAGCAAGAGCTTGAAGACCGTCCAACAGTTGTAAAATCCTAAAACCTTGGCAATACAAATAATGCTATACAAAGATAGTGATGCTGCTGAATCTGAAATCTACAAAGGGCTGGACTCTCCTGTGAGAATGCCTGTGTTCAAATCCAGCTCTGAGCAGGCTAATCTCTGGCCTTCAGTTCACAACCACAATACCTACCTAGTGGGACAGCACACACATAAGCACTCCATGCTGACAGCCCTTGAACTTGTGGATGGTGGGCAAGCACCACCATGAGTGAGCTGTTCACTGTCCGCTAATGAATGTCTGAATGCAAGGAATGATAGTGGTTTGGGGTACTAATGTATTTAAACACAAAAGCAGGGGCTGTACCAAAGTCTGAAGGTCAAAAGTCAACAACAGTCTGCACCCTTTCTTTTCCTAGTCCTATCAGTTTATATTAATTGCCTGGGAATTCCTAAAAAGCCTCTTCTAATCTTCTTCCCACATAACTATAAAAAAGCTACTAATTCTGTCTTCACTTTTAAGAATATGACATGTCACTTCTGGTTAACATATCCTGATGTTTATCCATGTGAAATGGACAAGGTTTTTCTTCTTGGATAGTTCAAAACACTATTAATTCTAACTGACTTATGGGGCACCAAAGGCATTTTCTTTGGTCCTCAAGAACAATTGTGGAAATCCAATTATTCTTAAAAATATTAAATCTTGCTTCTGGGGGAAGACTTTCACTACGTGTTCGCATCATTTGCCTTCACTCAACATTCCAACTAACTTGATTTGGGAGAGAAGAGGCTTTAGTTTGGCAATTAACAATGCTTCTGGTTCCTTTAATTGGCAAGGAGTTGGTAAAGTGAGTGATAATACTATTTTTGGAAGATAAGTAACTGCCCTTTAGAGAACAGGGGGACAGGGAATAGGGGGCAATAAATGCCAATTCTCAGACATAGCCCCAGATCTGTCTTAAGAACCGGTAGAGTAATAGAATGTTCCATTGGCAAGATGGCCCCATTGAAAGTTGTAAGGAATTGCAGAAGGCCGAGTATGGGCAGGTTTATTAAGACAGTACGGACTTGAACCTGGGAGACCAGAGACCCTTTCAGAATGCCAATGAGGCGGAAAACTGTCACAATGAAACGAAGATGTGACTTGGCCTTTTTCATCGTTCTCAGAGTGTTTTTTCTAACTACATAACTGAACGAACAGAAAACAGAAGCCCATGAAAACCTATATGTCTTTTATTAAAGACGGCCATTTCTAATGTATTATAACTTATGAATTATAACAAAGATGACTATATACCCAAAAAAGTGTTGAATCTTTTTAGTTAAAAAAATAAAAAGTCTGCAGGCAGCCGTTGCACAGAACTGTAAGGAGCCACTTACTGCAAACCCTGGATTCAGTTCTTGCCCTCAGTCGCCCTTGTAGGGTTCATCCTTGCCCTTTGAAAATTTATCCTGGAGGGCTTGAGGGTGCGGCCCTGGGGAAGTGAAAATCAGAGCCCTGTCTCTGCCGCTCACGGCCTGCGTGACCTGTGGCAAGTCAGTATCTTCAGCTCAAAATGCGGTGGTTTCTAGCACAACGGTTAAGAGGGTGAGCCTGGGACAGTCCACAGGGTTCGGGTCCTCGCTCCACCAAATGTTAGCTGTATGACTTCAGACATATGAGCACATCAGTAAAGCCCCATTTCCTCATTTATTAAAAAAAAAAAAAAATGCGGGGGGGGGGGATTGGAAAAAAACGACCCACCTCATGAGAGTGTGTGAAGATTAAATAAGATAACCCATATAAAAAGCAAGGACAGTGAGTGACATAATGAGTAGTCTACACACATTGGCTATTATTACTGACCTCACGGGATTGTTTTTGGAATCAAATGAGATGTGAGAAGTAAAGCATCATACAGATGACAAAAATAAAAGCAAGACCAATTGTGCCAGAAACACTGTTACCCCTTCAAAAAAAAAAAAAAAGTTAAATGATCTCAGCCATTCGGAGAAGCCTCCATTTAGTAACATCCACGCTAAAAACGCGAGCTAGTTTTGCAAAAACCGCTGACCTTGAAGCCTTCTTCACCATTAACTGAGACAGACCAAGACCACACAACCATCTGAGAGGAAAGGACATGCCAAAGGGCCCACCACTGTCCAATTACAGAACATGCCCGTTACTGAGAAGGGGCTTCTCCCTGACTCAAACCTGTGACTCCCCACAACCGGGGCGGCCGGGTGACATCCAGGTCTGACAAAGCCTGGGGCTGAGGTGGGCGGAAAGGATGGAGGGGACCCACCGCGCACAGGGGAAACCGGCCAGGCTGCAGGAGGGAAACGCATGCCCTCGCAGCAGCCCCGCAGGACCCTCCATCGTCAACTACCCGTCTCTTCACCGCCATTTGGGGCCCAAGACACTCCCCTCCCCAAACCCCCTCGCCGCCCACGTGTGCCCAGAGCAGCTGTTCCTCCACCGAAGACCTCGCCATTGGGAACCTCGGATCAGGCCTGTTCGGATTCGAGCGGGGTGACCTTGTGTCAGACCCCCTCCCCTCTTTGGACCTCTTTCTCCATGGACACCCGGCGCAGCTGGTTACACAACCCCCCAGGCCCGGTTCCCGCAATGAAAAGTCTGTACGTGAGGACTATCCCCTCAGCCTCCACCCGCGGGGAGATCTCGGGGCTCCCTTGGCGCGGCCCGAACAGACGCAGCCTACGGGCAGCGCAGGTCTCCGCGAGAGGC